CTGGCCAGGCCTCTACCTTGGAGACCAGTATGTACGGGGTAAACAGGGATCATGCCTGGATGTGTGTGTGTGTGTGTGTGTGTGTGTGTGTAAGGAGAAAAGAGGGTGGCAGACAGACACTGAGTTGTGTTGTTGGTTCCAGATTAAGGATTGAAGGGAGGGGGGAACACAGAAAATAAAGGCTGGAGGGTTTGGGAGAGTTTAGATAGGATTATCAAAATGCCCAACTCAGGATTGAAAAACTCTTGTTCAAATAGTAACGTTATTCATTTAGCAAACACTTAGTATTGAGTGCCAGTGCTGCGTACCAAGCACAGTAGATGACTTCTCTGACCTTCCATCTGTTGTGCTATGACCCTGGATAAAGATAGTCACTGGGAGCCAGGAACAGTAGGTAGTAAGCCCAAGGGGTTCATCTCGAGATCAAAGCTAAAGTGTCTGCAGAGTCTGTAAGTTGGAGGCTGTGGAAAGAGGAATATCAAAGAAAGAGCAAATTCTTCTCTTCCTCAGGGGCTCTATGGTATGCAAGGATTTTTTTTCACATGTATTTTCACTCTTAATCTTCACAACAGCCTTGAGAGGTAGGTGATAAAGAGGAAACTGATGCTCAGGGAAGTTGTAACTGGCCAAACATCACATGAGTCTCATGAGCCAGGACTTAAAGGTTCTTTCAAATTTCCACTTAAGGAGTTTGCACTGGAAAAGCACTTGCCCTGACATATGACCATTTTTCCTGAGAGGTGTCTGCCACTCAGCTAAAGGGGATGGTCTTGATGCAAACTTGAAAGTGAAATTATAAAACTGGGAAAATGTGAGCCATGGCATAACAGGGAAAACAGAAGAGGATTCTGGGTATCAGTGACAGTATAAAGTAATTGGAAGGTTGGGTATGGGAAGAAGTATCAGAACCATGTTTAATGTCCCATGTAAGGTCAAGATTAGCAGGGACATTAAACATTTTTTTTCTTATTTTTTACTTTTTTGGTGCTGGGGATTGAACCCAGAGCCTTGTGCATGCTGAGTTTGAGTTGTATCACCGAGCTACACCCCCAATAGGTATTTTAAATGTGAGCACATCTAACAACCCTCTTGATGCTCAGATCCTCTCTGCAATATCCATGGAATATTAATGGATATACAACATCTAATATCCTCTCTGCAATACTCAGTGGTCTCCTTTTCCTGCTTGAACACCCCAGTGATGGGAAATGGCTCGCTCCTGAGATACTCCAACCTTTCTTCAGTTAGATTCCACTGTTAGTATGTCCTGTTAGTAGCCTGAAAGTGAAATCTGTGGCCCTATAGCCTTAATCCTTTGATCTTATTTCTACCCTTTAGGGCCCTGCAAATCAAGGAAAATCCCACTTCCTCAGAGCACCCCTTCAATATTTTATTATGGCCATTTTCACCCCTCCTCCTTAGTCTTCTCCAGTCACCCTCAGTTCTCTCAACCATTGCTCACAGGACAAGACTTTAACTCATTGCCCGTCTTCCTCCCTTCTGGGGCATTAGTAAGTAAAGTAGAGGCCTGGAGCCCATGATAGTACCTAGGCAAGAAATGGCCCTGACACCCTGGCTTCTCTACTCTCCCTCTAATTTCTGTTCAACACAGGGACATGGCCAACAACCGCCGCGAACTTCGTCGCCTGGGCATCACCCACGTCCTCAATGCCTCACACAGCAGATGGCGAGGTACACCTGAGGCCTATGAGGGACTGGGCATCCGCTACCTGGGTGTCGAGGCCCATGACTCGCCAGCCTTTGACATGAGCATCCACTTCCAGACGGCTGCTGACTTCATCCACCGTGCACTGAGCCAGCCAGGAGGTAGGAAGGGAAAGCAAAAAGGAGGAAAGATCAATGAACATGGAGCTTAGGAGAAGCCCAAGCGTTCAAGTATGGAGAGAGATTTTAGCCACATGATAAAATGCTCTGGATATAATGTTAAGGAAAGAAAACCATTCTCTCAAGTATTTTTTTTTCTTCTCAAAACAACACAAAGTAAATCACCCAGCATTGAGTGGCAAGTTGCACCTGGGTGGTGAGAATCTGGGTGCTATAATTTTTTAATTTGGGGGTTTTACATATTTCTATGCTTTCTAATTATTTTTACCTTCAGCATGGTAAAAATGCTTTAGCAGTCAGAAAAAAAAAACAGAGTAGGTCCTTTGAATTAATAGGTTCTGAATCCATGGATTCAATCAACTACATATTAAAAATACTTGAAAGAAAAAACTAATGAACATGTACAGATTTTTTTTATTTCTTGCCTTCATTTCTTAAACACTACAGTATAGTAATTATTTACATAGCATTTATATTATATTATATTAGGTATTTAGATAATCTAGAGATGATTTAAAGTATATAAGAAGACGAACATAGGTTATATAAAAATACTAAACCCCGTTTTATGTAGGGGACTTTAGCATCTACTGATTTTTGGTATCTTTGTGGAATCCTAGGACCAATCCACCTTAAATATTAAAGAAGGACTATGTGTGAAAATATAAATATATTCAATGATTAAGAGAAATAGCAAGATAAAAGGATAAGGGAACCAGATGCAATGCACATGACTGCCGTCCCTGCTACTGAGACAGGAGGATTTTGGAGCCAGGCATTTGAGGCCAGCCTGGGCAATATAGCAAGACCCAGTCTCAAAAAACACAAAGGGTAGAGAGACTGAACAGGGCTTGACACAAGGGTGTTTCCTGTTGATCCATTCAGCAAATATCAATGGAGTCCCTACCCTGTGCTAAGCTTGGTTTCTCATTAATGATGAGTCTACCTTTGCACCCTTTTCAGTTTTATGGACACTGAGGTGCTGCACGACCTCTCCATCCATTTCTGCAGAGGTTTCTTCCCCTTTGTTGAGGATCTGCATGTCTTGGTTTATTTTTGTATTTTATTCATTGCAGTGCTAGGGATTGGACCCACGACCTTGCTCATGCTTAGCATGATATACCCCCAGCCCAGTATCTTCATTCTTTTATTTTTATTTTTTTAAGAAAAAGGAATAAGCCAGGCGTGGTGGTACATGCCTGTAATCCCAGTGGCTCAGGAGGCTGAGGCAGGAGGATCGTGAGTTCAAACCCAGTCTCAGCAAAAGCAAGGTGCTAAGCTACTCAGTGAGACCCTGTCTCTAAATAAAATACAAAATAGGGCTGGGGATGTGGGTTAGTGGTTGAGTGCCCCCTGAGTTCAGTCCTCAGTACGCAGAGGAGGGGAAAAAAGAAAGGAATAAGAAGGTTTATTGCTAGAAAAGGAGAAACATAGGGGACTCCTGACCCAGAGACTGTGATTCTGCCTACCAGGATCTTCATGCTTAACACCACTCATCTGCACCCGTTTCTTTCTCCATGCACCTCTACTTATCTGTCTTCCTGTTCACCTGTCCTTGTCATACTCTCCCTGGCTTCCTCCAAGCGACCACAGTCTCCAGCTATCTCTTTGTGTCTCTCTTTGCAGGGAAGATTCTGGTGCACTGTGCTGTGGGAGTGAGCCGATCTGCCACCCTGGTGCTGGCCTACCTCATGCTGTACCACCACTTCACCCTTGTGGAGGCCATCAAGAAAGTCAAGGACCACCGAGGCATCATCCCCAACCGGGGCTTCTTGAGGCAGCTCCTGGCCCTGGACCGCAGGCTGCGGCAGGGTCTAGAGGCATGAGAGGAGGGGGAAGAAGTCAGGTCAGGTCCCTGGGTAGGTCCCTGGCTCCCAGCTGGAGGAAGGAAGCCCAGGTGGCAGGTAACAGATAACTCAAGTAGTCCATTCTCTCCTAGTGACAGGAGAGTGAATGCTCAGGGGTGGAGCCTTTGAGGGAGGGGATAGGAAGTAAGGTTTGGAAGCGAGGTTGGTGGCACCCAGGGACTTTTGACCAGGGAAGGAAGCAGGTAGACTGCAGGTGAAAGATGATCCTAGGATCTGATTCAGGCACTGCTGGATTCCAGCCAAGGTGCTCCCAGTGATTCACAGTCCCCTACCCTCTTTGTGCTCAAGTGTTCCCCCCTCTCACTTACCAGAATGAAAGGGCCCTCTCTGTCCTGTGTCTGAGCAGGGAGTTAGAGATGCATCAAGCACAGATGTGATGGTATAGAATTGTGACAGACGGTGAAGGGATGGTGTGAGAAGCTGTGAAACCAGAGGGAGAAACCCACACAGACTTGTTACTCCAATCACAGGAAGAGTAGGTGTGTGAGGGTTGGCATGGTGCTTATGAGAGCTGCTTGTGATCAAGAGTATTACAGAGGTGCATGACTAGCTGGTCATTCACTTATTGGATTCAGGTGTCTGAAGGAAAAATAAAGATGATGGAAAAGAAGAGAGCTTCTTGGTGTCATTGACAATTTGAAAGAGTTCTATTTCTCTCTCTTGGGGATCCTAGCCTTGCTGGGGATAGCAGCAGTTCCTGACCCCCTCCTTTTGGTGATCAGCTTCCACCACCTTGAAAACCTCCACCAGTTCTTGCGAAACCCTGGAAAATCTTGAACTGTTATTTCCAGAGATTCCACTAAGAGGCAGCAGAGGACCAAAAACCTCAGCTCTGCAACCACTTCTTGTTGCCTAGAAAACACTTCCTCCATCTTCTAATCTTAAAATAGGTCCCTGTTCATATGCTCAAATGCATAAGAAATATGTTTATTTTTTTTAAATCAGCCTGATTTCCATATAAGCTCCCCATTCTGATCAGATAACATTCTGATGAGAAACCCATCCCAACTGTAAATATACATTTAGGGGTTTGTATTTTGTCTGGTGCCAAGGTATTGTGGGGGCGAGGGAGAGGTCATGTAATTGCTTTCTCTTCTGATCTTTACAGGCTTGCTTCAGAGGAATGGAACACAATCCTATTAGTAAAGTTAATCAAAAATTAGACTTGGAGCTGGGAGTATAACTTAGTGGTAGAGCATTTGCCTAGTACATACATACAAGACCTTGGGTTATATGCCCAAAACCACCCCCCCCCAAAAAAAAAGATATAAATCCAATTATAGTCAATCAGTTTTGATGAGTATTTTTTCTTTTAATTCATCTCTTCTGATGGCCCTTCTCATGGTTGGAAGCCAGCTCTCATGGTTGGCTTCTGTCTTGCTACTTTGGGCCTAGCAGGTCTGATTGCTTCTAGTAGTCTATGTTTATCGTATTTCCAGTTTCCTCACCAGCCTTGCCCATACTGGGATTCCTGTAGGAACCAGAACTCCAATCTCTCAGAATTTGTAGGTCTCAGTGCTCCAGGCTAATACCTATAAGATGAAGGCAAGCAAGCTCTGTTAGTTGGAATGTCAAAATTCCATCACTGTTAAGAGACATATTTATCTAAGAGATAGAATGAGGACTTCATTAGGTAATATTGATTTATTATTATTATTAGTTGTTCAAAACATTACAAAGCTCTTGACATATCATATTTCATACATTTGATTCAAGCAGATTATGAACTCCCATTTTTACCCCGTATACATATTGCAGATTCACATCAGTTACACATCCACGTTTTTACATACTGCCATACTGGTGTCTGTTGTATTCTGCTGCCTTTCCTATCCTCTACTATCCCCTCTCGGTAATATTGATTTTAATTGAAATGTGTTGATTTCCTATCAGAACCATGGACCAGATGAATTACATATAACTAAAAAGAATTACACATAACTCAAAATAACTCATGCTCTTAGAAAGACGAACTGCAACTAGAAACAGTTGGGTAAAGAAGACAATTGTCGTCTCCTTTGTTTTGGCCTAGAAAAGACAGTACTATGTATGTAACTGAACAGCCACAACCATATTTGTTCGGTCTGATTATTCCCTAGAGTGTTCATGATGAATAATTTGAGAATTTAATTCTAACTTCTAGTAAGGAATTACAGTTACTAAAATACATTAAACCAAAGAACAGGCTTCCAGATGATCTGCACAGAACAGATTCTGTACTTTTATTATTCAAAGAAGCATATCATTGCTATGCCCAGGCACTCTCCTATCTTTACAAACACTCGTCTAATTCTCATAAAAGCCCTGTGAAGACGGTATAATTGTCATTGCTTAGGAACAGAGAGTCAAGGTTCCCTAATTGGCTCAAGGATGCACAAAGAGTAAGTGGAAGAACTAGAATTTAAAACTGAATTATCTGGCTCCAGAATCTGTGTTTACCCATCATACTATACTGAGCCTCCAGCCCCACCCCTGAAGGGTTTATGAAGGATTTCCCTGTCTATTCTAGAGATTGTGATCCTTCCAAAAAGAACTATGTGTATCAGAGGGGAGAAGGAGCCCACAGCCTGGTATTCACCCAATTAGAATCAGTCCCAGCCTCCAAGTGGGCTCAGGGTAACACCTGTCACAGGTGTGTATCACCTCCATCTCCCAAACCTGAGGTTCAATGTCAAGACTCCCCTATCGTATTCTTGGGCAATGGACCATGCAGACTAAAATAACTGGAATGTGAACAGGAGGAAATGTGCTCTGATTAGGCACAGCCTGTGCCACTAGTTGACTGTGCCTCAACCCTCTGGAGCTGAGATCCAAGTCAAACATCTCATTCTGCTTCTTTCCTTGCCATCTCCAGCCTCCGCCTGTTCAGTGTTGACTCAAGCCCTTGAGTCAGGCCCTGGAGATATTGCTGGCTCTGAGGAGGAGGAGGAGTGTTTGCCCAAACCTTCACCCCTATAACTAATCCCAACTGGGAAGCTCCACAGGGAGCAGCAGCTAAGAGAAAACTGCTGCTTCTGAGTCCCAGGGCAGCAGATGAAGCTGGAACCACACAAGCATCTAACTAAGAATTATGCTGGGTCTAGAAGACTCAGCATTACCACATCCAAGGGCCTCTGCTAGAAGTAGATACCTTAAAGAAAAGGATATTTGGGTCTGGGGTTGTAGCTCGGAGTTACAGTGCTTGCCTAGCCTACACGAGGCCCCAGGTTTGATACTCAGATACAAAGAGAAAGAAAATTTGAATAGAGAGAAGAATTGGCCGGGTTATAAGGAAACGAAACCCTGCTTATCATAGATTTTTGTCCTCAAAGTATTTTTTGAGGTGGGGGAAGAGCAAAAGACCCACAAGCTTTATAGAAAGTCCTGTTTGCACCCTAATCCCTGGAACCTGTAAATATGCCATCTTACCTGGTGATGTATTAGTCTATTTTTGGTGCTATAACGAAAAACCGGAAGCTGAGTAATTTCTTACAGAAAAGAGATTGATTTTGCTCACAGTTTAAGAAGCAGAAAGTCCATAATTAGGTGATCCTAATAGTTTGGCCTCTGGAGAGGGTTTCCCCTGGCTGCATCATATCATAGTGGATAATATCAGAGCAGGAGCACATGTGAAAGGGAGAAAGGGCATGGTGAGACAGAAAGCAAGAGAGAGCTGGGTGTGATAGTGCACACCTGTAATTCTAGCAGGAGGTTAGTAAATTTGGGGGCCAGCCTCAGCAACTTAGCAAGACCAGGTCTCAAAAAAAAAAAATTTAAAAAGGGTTGTAAACTAACAGCATCAGTGTGAAATCCACCAACAGAGGGTGTCTTGTGTCATACCTCCATATCTGGGAAACTTGACACAGGATTTGGGTTTCCAGTCCTCCTTGAAAAGTTGAAAAAGACAATAGCCCACGTTTGCGCATGACAGCAGTCTGAGTAAAGGCTGTCTCCTTTAGAGGAGTTAAGTGCCTGTTCTATAGTTCCACCTCTTCCCTTCTCCACCTTTAAAAAAAAAAAAAAAACTGGGGATTAAACCCAGGGAAGCTTAACCACCAAGCCATATCCCCAGCCCTTTTTAAAAATATATATATTTTACTTAGAGACAGGGTCTTGCCAAGTTGCTGAGAATGGCTTTGAACTTGCTATTGTGCTGCATCAACCTCCTGAGCCGCTGGGATTACAGGCATGCACCACTATGCCCAGCACTCTACCTATTTTCTAACACAAGACCTGTTGCGCTCCTTGAGACCAATTGCCTGCAACCCCTGAGGTAAATCAATCCTACTATGTCTTTTTTTTTTTTAGAATTTTAATATTTATTTTTTAGTTTTCGGCGAACACAACATCTTTGTTTGTATGTGGTGCTGAGGATCGAACCTGAGCCTCATGCATGCCAGGCGAGCACGCTACTTCTTGAGCCTCATCCCCAGCCCCCCACTATGTCTTAAATTCCTACCCCAAAATATAAACTATTACTTACCTTAAAAAATCCAGACTAGCCCACCTTCCCTCATTTTCTTCCAATTCCTGTAGTCATTCTTGAAATGTTCTTAGTTTGTGGGGAGTGGTTGCTGGCCTTTACAACGGCCTGGGATGTTTCCCCTGGTTTGGCAGACACTCGAACCTCCAGCCAAATTCCCATTCAGCATCTGGAGCCAGCCTGGGAGAAGGTGGCTGGCACAGTGAGTCTCAGGAAGGAAGCTTGGAAGTAAGTGGAAAGAGGCCCAGGAAGCAGGGAGGGGTGTGTGTTTATAAGTTCACAACTTGGCTTCTGATGATCTGTGGACCTCCACCTTCTGCCTAGGTAATTTTCCCTGGGGCAGTATTTTTATTTTTAAGTGCTCAGAAATCAAAGGCCCCTGCCTCTGACCCTTGGAGCTTATTCACAAACTGGGTTAAAACTGGCCAAGCCCACATTCTCAATGTATAACCTTGACAGAGCCTGAGCTTAATTGAGACCCACAACCAATGGCAACCTACTGAAAACAGACAGCAAAAATATTAACCCGGGGAGGGAGATAGAGTCTGCCCCAGGAGAGGGGAGAGCACCCAGTCCACTTACAATGTTCAACCCCAAAGAGCCGGCACCGGTTGGTCCTTGCTCCAGGGAGGGAGAGGACTCTTACTTGCTTTAGGAGAAAGGAGAAACATGTCCCCAAGATGTGTCTCATAGAAAGTAAAAGAGGTGAAGTGGGCTGGACACCCAAGGCTAAAGCTCAAATGGTTGTCCCCTGCCAACCCATGCCAGGTACAAAACACTCCCAGCTGCCAAGCAAGATAAGGCTGGGACCCTGCCCAGCTTCTTTGCACATGTGAATGATCATAACCTCAAGAACACCCCCACTGGAAGGCATCCAAGAGAACATCCAGTTCAGGGATTTTATTTTCTTTTTCCTTTTGTTTCTTTCTGTTTCTTTTCTTTCTTTATGGGTTTTTTGTTTTGTTTTGTTTTGTTTGTTTTCTTGATGTCTTGTTCTGCTGGAAACAAGCATTTTTTCAAAGATACTATCAAAACTTTGGCAAATATCTCCAAACAAACTGATAAACATAATGCTTTGTTTTTCAACTGGCAGTACTTTGAAAAGATAATACAAAAAAAAAAAAAAAACTAACCTGAGTCAACATTAGCTCAAAATGCTTACATTTTTGACTATATAACTTATGTTCCCACATGATAAAACAAGTGATAGCTGGAATCAACATTAACAGATAAATTCTGTGAAATGAAAATTGGTGCTCTTGGATGAATCACAGAATGTTATGGTTAAATAGACCCACTCTTTTTTATATTCCTGGCACCCAGGATGAAAAAAAAAAAAAAAAAAAATATATATATATATATATATATATATATATATATATATACACACACACACACATGTAATGTAAGTAAAAGATTTTTACCTACTTATATATTGTAATAATTATTTTTTGAAGACAGATGTGCTAAGAAGCTAATTTACTTTTATTTTATTTCAGTTGTGTGTGTGTGCCATGGATGAAACTTAGGTCTTAAACATGCTCTAGGTGAATGCTCTACCACCAGCCCTGAGTCCTAGTATTTCAAATCACTTTCATTGGGGCCATTTATGTGAGGGTGGGATAGGGAGAGGAATTCCCTTGTGATTCAAACAAGAAGACTTATTTTTATATTTTATATGCATTTTGTTGTTTTATTTTGTTGTTGCTGTTTTCTTTCTTGGTGCCATGTATTGAACCCAGGACGTTACACAAGCTAAGCATACACTCTACCACTAAGGTACATCCTTAGCCCTTGCAGTTATTTTTAGACCTTACTACATAAAAGATTATGCCAACGAAAAACAGATATAAAACCAACAATCTAATCCAATCCTTCACTTTGTAAATGAGAAAACCAAGACAGGGAGAGGTAACAGGAAGGCACAGAAATAACACCAAAACCAAGACTCAGGTAGGGAGAGATTGCTATGAGTTCACCAGAGTCACTTCTCCCCTGTTATTAATAGAACTGCCTGAGCTTTGGCCAGACACATGACTATCCTGCGAACGACGACATTCCACAGTCTGCTTTGCTGAGAAATGTGACCCTGGGACTAAATTCTCACCAATAGAATGTGAGCAAAAGTAATGTTCTATTTCTTACAAGGAAAAGACTGTCCCTTTAGTGTTTTGAACCCTTCCTTTGGATTAGAACATTAGATAAATGATTAGTAAACCATATGAACAAGGGAAACATCCTGGGAACCCGCCAAGGGACAAAAGAACCTAGGTCACCAGATGGCTTTATGAAATAGAACCACCTTTACACCCTGCATCTTCCACTTTCTTTGGGATATTTATGAGTCAAAAATAAACTACTAGAGTGTTTGAGCACTCTAGTTTTTTATGCCTCTTTGTTACAGTAGTTTTATTATTTATCTACTGCTGAGTAACAAATTACTTCAAAACTCAGTGGCTTAAAACAATAAATATTTGTTATTATTTGGTGGTTTCTGTGGATTAGGACATCAAGGGTAGTGTAACTGTGTGGTTCTGCCTCAGAATTTTTCCTGAGGGTACAGCTATTGTGGTGACAGGGGCTGCAGTTATCTAAAAGCCTGAATATGATAGAATACCCACTCCCAAGCTCATTCATGTGGCTATCATCAGACACCTCAGTTCCTTACCACGTCCTTTCTCCATAGGTGAGTGACTTTGTGATGTGACATTGCCTACCCCCCAGAACAAACAACCCAAGATGAAGAGTGGCTAAGAAACCACAGAGCATTTTTATGACCCATCTTCAAAGACGAATAGTTGCCTCCATCTTTTTCGATTGTTACAAGAGTCAAGAAGTCCAGCCCAAACTCAAGCAGATGGGGACTAGACTCTACCTCTTAAAGGAAGGGGTATCAAATGATTTGCGAATGCATTCTCAAAAATACCACAGGGACTCAGCCTGCATCTGAATTAATGTACTAGATTTACTGACTCCTAGTCCCGTGCATCTTCTCGGCCATGATGCTTCATGACGTAGTTCAAGGACAGTAATGACTAAAACTGTTGTGTGACAGGGACATGCCAAGCAGTTTTCAAACATTTTACCACTCATACAATGCTGTGTAGTATATGCTACTCCTAGCCCTAATTTTATAGGTGAGAAGAAAAGTTTAGAATTACCATGCCAGACTCTAAAGCCTTATTCAGCAGCAAACAGCATGCTTTGGGGAGGCAGACCAAGGGTGGAATTCTTGCACCAATACTTGAGTTATATGATTTTTGGTAATACCTAACCTTTCTGAGCTTCAGTTTAACATTAGAATTAAAAGGAAAGTTGAAAATAATAAACTTTCAAGGATTGCGGTAAGGAGTAATTGAAATCATGAGACGCACTGAGCACAGGAATTGGCATGAATGGGGAATCAATATGTCCTCCCATCTTTGCTTCATTCTCAGATCTCCACTGCCACCCAGGAGATGGTTCAGCTCTGACCTACAATTTGCTTCATTTCAGAAAGCCAAAAACTTAGCAGGACTATGCAGAATACCTGGGCAACCAGGTAGCATGAACCCCATACCCTCTGTTTCCACCCCCACCCCCATCCTTCTCTGATACTTTGGAAAACCATCAGGCTATGCTTAGGAAGTGCTTAGGAAAAGACTCTGGCAACTGTAGCATGGTCCCAGCCTCTGGAGAGAGAAAGGATGTTCCTACTTAGTCCCACAAAAGCCTTTGTCTCCTACTGGACTTTCCATGTGTGTTGGGACCTGAGGAGAAGAACAGGCAAATTGCTGCCTCACATTCCTAGAGAACCACAGACCAGGACATGGGAACATTGCTGGGTACATTATAAACACCTGTGGTCAAGAGTTGTATCAATTTCCTAAAAGAATCCCAGTACTTAGACTTCCCCAGTATCTAGACAGAGAAAGATCAAAGTTTTTAAAGAGTAAAAAGAGCAAAGGGGCTAGGCATGTATAGTACATGCATGAGCTTAGCATGTGCAAGGCCCCAGATTCCGTCTCTAGCACCCAAAAAAATAAATGTCCTAAAAATTAATATGAAGGGCCTCATTAGCCCAGTGTACAATGAACAACTCTCAACAACTTTAAGGAATTACATGTTCCTTTGTGAAAATTCTTTACTAAAATATTAAAAAGCTTGGAATGCAGCTCGGGAGGCTGAGGCAGGAGGATTGCAAGTTCAAACCCAGCCTAAGCAACTCAGTGTGACATTGTCTCTAAAAAAAAGACACCTTGGAAAATTACTGTGACAATTTGTCTTATTTTGAGGCATGACATATTTGTTTACTCAGTTAATTATCACTGTTTACAAACCAACCCTGGTTGACATTCTTTTACACATCCTTTTTTTTTCTTTAATTAATTTTTTTATTTATATATGACAGCAGAATGCATTACAATTCTTTTATTACACATATACAGCACAATTTTTCATACCTCTGGTCGTAAAAAAAATATATCCACGCCAATTCGTGTCTTTATACATGTACTTTGGATAATAATGACCATCACATTCCACCATCATTTCTAGCCCCATGCCCCCTTCCTTCCCCTCCAACCTCTGCCCTATCTAGAGTTTGTCTATTCCTCCCATGCTCCCTCTCCCTACCCCACTATGAATCAGCCTCCTTGTATCAGAGAAAACATTCAGCATTTGGTTTTTGGGGATTGGCTAACTTCACTTAGCATTATCTTCTCTAACTCCATCCATTTACCACAAATGCCATGATTTTATTCTCTTTTATTGCTGAGTAATATTCCATTGTGTATATATGCCATATATTTTTTATCCATTCATCTATTGAAGGGCATCTAGGTTGGTTCCACAGTTTAGCTTTTGTGAATTGTGCTGCTATAAACATTGATGTGGCTGTGTCTCTGTAGTATGCTGTTTTTAACCTTAAGACTGAGGAGAGAGATAGCTGGGTTAAATGGTGGTTCCATTCCCAATTTTCCAAGAAATCTACATACTGCTTTCCATATTGGCTGTACCAATTTGCAGTCCCACCAGCAGTGTATGAGTGTACCTTTTTCCCCACATCCTCATCACCACTTATTGTTGTTTGTATTCATAATAACTGCCATTCTGACTGGAGTGAGATGAAATCTTAGAGTGGTTTTGATTTGCATTTCTCATCATCTAGAGATGATGAACATTTTTTCATATATTTGTTGATTGATTGTGTATCATCTTCTGAGAAGTGTCTGTTCATGTCCTTGGCCCATTTATTGATTGGGTGATTTTTTTGGTGTTTAACTTTTTGAGTTCTTTATATACCCTAGAGATTAGTGCTTTATCACAAAACTCAACTCAAAATGGATCAAGGACTTAGGAATAAAACCCGAAAGCCTGCATCCAATAGAAGAAAAAGTAGGTCCTAATCTCCATCATATGGGATTAGGCCCCAACTTCCTTAATAAGACTCCTGTGGCACAAGAATTAATATCAATAAGAATAATAAATAAGAATAAGAATCAATAAACTGGATTGATTCAAACTGAAAAGTTTCTTCTCAGCAAAAGAAACAATCTGTGAGGTGAATATATCTTGGTGAATACAATCTGACAGCCTACATCTTGGGCGCAAATCTTTTCCTCTTACACATTCTAAGACTGGATTTGGAGGTTCATGGAAGAGAGACTCTTACAAAAGGAGAAATGGAGTGACTAAAGCCTCTGTCCCCTTCCCCCCACAGAGGGACGTGGCTGACCCTCTC